CAAATGAGATGCCTCAGCCGGTCTGGGGCCACTGCAGCGGCTGCAGAAACTCCACCTCAGCACAGATCTATTCCCTGTGCGGACGAATGCCTTGTGTGTGAATCACCATACAGTTCCAGATACAGGAGATGTAAAGATATGTATAAAGTGCATTAAAAATACAGTTTTATGCACAGATCATGAACAAAAATTGATCTCTAATTCAACTGTATTTAGATTGTTTGTGACTGTGGAGCTGTCAAACCCTTATGGTCCACGACTCCCTTGAAAAAGAGGTTCTTATGCCCCATCCCAATTCTCGCCCTTGCCCTTAAAAAGCACACTTGCCCTAGCGTTTGCGCGTGCCCGCGCGAGTGCAAGGGTGTCCCAATACTTAGGGAGACGAGGCGAGGGTCTTCACTGCCCTAAAAACCACCCTTGAGCGCAAGTGAGGTCGGGAGCTCACTTGCTAGCGAGGGTGATCCCATGATGCATTGCGAACTCGGCAAACCAGTTTTTCCAAATGAACATGGCGCCGACTCTCGGGAGCGAAAGCTACAAATGTAAGTACAATTTCACACAAACATGCACTCTAAAAGCTATGAAACGTGTCAGAATTATGTGGGTACGCAATTTGTTCTACAATGTAGAATGCCGGTGTTGGCTCGCTGTTTCGTACGTGTGCATGTGCATGGCATGGTGTGCATTGAATTCATAAACATAGGTAAGCGTTTGTCTTCACCCTTAACTTTGGTTGTGTGTTTGCAAATCTGCGCAAACAGCTCGCAGTAGTAGTGGAACTGAACAATTGACCAACGCTGTTTTTCCCCCAGGGACCACGGAGAAAACCTTTGCTCTCATAAATTACAGAGCTGCGAATGAAGCCAATTTTCTGAAAACAAAATTTCAGACAAAAAGTCTGTGGCAGTAAGTGAAACTTCTATTCTTACTAATAATGCTATTGAACACAGCTAAATGCCTATACCTCACTGTATGTTCACAGGCAAGCAGTGAAAGAGCTGGGCCTGGAGGGGAAAGTGACCCACAAGCAGGTCAGTAAGAAGTGGGAGAACCTGAAGAAGCGCTACAAGGTAATTATCTGCAAATATAGCTGTCTGGTTAATCCTGTAACCTCAACTCACTTTGCTGTGTGTGTGTGTAGGACCTAAGGGACCCAAAGACTGGCTCAGGCACAGATAGTGGGGAGAAGACCGCTTCTCCCCACTATCGCTGCGCTTCACGCAGTCTTGGGGGGAAGGCCTGCTGTGGATCCCCCTGTTGTTGTGGCGTCTTTCAGGCCAGCTGAAGACCCTACAGCTTTGCTAATGGTAAGAAACAAGGGAATATTTTTATAGGGGCGGTGTACAATAAACATTAACCCAAAGGAAAGATGCATTGAACCACTAGTCCCTGAGCAGGTTGTTGTCAAACAGTAAAATGTAAGTAATTGGAGGAATTATCAGACCAAAATTTCTATTTCATTTACCACAAGTGTCATAACTCGGCTCAAATAGAAATGACAGAAACACGCCAAACCGTTGCCAATTGGAATAATGTTTATTAATAACTAGAGGTGCAACGGTTCATCACTGATCCGTGATCCGTTCGGTTCAACGTCTTCGGTTCGGTACAGACGTGATCCGCGGTTTGATTTATGAAAAAAAAGTTGTGCGCACGTTGTTCAGTCCACACACAGCGCGGTCATTGCGAGCGGAGGAACGGAGATGCTTGAAAGCCCCGCGTCATTTAAATCCCCAGTATGAGAGCATTTTGGCTTCACTGTAACTACACTGATAATTAATATTCAACAAAACTGTCACGGTGTGTAAGCACTGTGGCACAAGAAAGACATGAGTGAAAAAGCGTCTCAACGACCACCTATTGTCGCGGCATTTAAGCAGCTCCTTTACGCACAGTCAGACTGGGCTAAAGTCAACTCCCGCGCATCCTCAGCTGCGCTCACGACTGACGCTCGGACGTCCCGTGGAACCTATAATAGATCCATGAGCAGAACCGCTCACTTCATCACCGCAGACTGGGAGATGAAAAGTCTGGCGCTGAAGACACGCCCCCTCTACGACAGTCACACAGTCACACAGCGCAGTTACTGACACAAGCAGCGGAGGAATGGAAGACAAAGGCCCAGTACTAATATCCCAGTCACAACTGATAATGCCAAAAATTAAATAAATGCAGTGAATGAGGCTGGGCCCAGAATGGACCCCCTCCTTGGGAGAATCAGGAAGGTGGTGTAATATATGAGGGTAAATATCCTCATAAAGTGCCTTCTTATGTTGCACCTTGTGTTGTTTTTCATTAATTATGTTAAATAGACATAATTGGATGGATGGAATATGCCTTCCATCCATCCATCCATTTCCTTCCCCTTAATTCATTTCTAGGTCAGGGGGGGCAGTCAGAGCAGGTGCCGAGTCCACATGAGCTGTGTTTATTAAAAAGACAAAACTTTTTTTTAGAAAAATGAACCGAAAAATGAACCGAACCGTGGCCTCTGAACCGAGGTACGAACCGAACCGTGATTTTTTCAAACCGTTGCACCCCTATTAATAACCAAACTTAATGTTTTAATGGGGTGTGTAAGTCTGTAGTGAGTGCGTGCGAGTGTATGTGCTGTGAAGGTAAGTCTGCGGTGTTGAATGGTGTGTAGAAAATAGACCACAACCTAAACGAACCAAAACTAACCAAACCAAACCAGGCAAACCAAACCGAAGGAGGCGGGGCACGCAGGTGGCAGGATGGGAGCGGAATGAGCCAACAAGAATGTCTGGCTTGCACCAGAGCTTTAAAGGCGCGGCTCCGTCTGACGCACCAATGAGCGCAGGTGCCATCTGAGAGGAGAGGCTATACGGCCTGGTAGTGGCCGTAACACCCCCCCACATAAATACGAGAATTCTCCCCACAGAATTATCGCAGCACAACACAAACCACCCAGGACACCACATCCTGCTCCAAGTTCCCCCGCTGGTGCCTAAAGGGAAAACAGAGGCAGACAGAATGAACAAACCACAACACTCAACTCACAGGTGCCCTGGACAAGGCATCAGCCATAAAATTATCCCGTCCTCTAATGTGCCGGATCTCCATATCATAGGCCTGAAGAAATAAAGTCCAACGAACCAGCCTTTGATTGGGACACCTCAACGAGCTCAAAAATGTGAGAGGGTTATGGTCCGTGTACACAACCAACGGGACAGAACCACTCAAATACACACGAAAATACTGTAAAGCCCATATCAAAGCCAATGCCTCTTTCTCAATAACAGAATAGTTCTGCTGATGCCGATTAAACTTCTTTGAGAAGAAACAAACTGGTTTCATCACTCCCTGGCCATCCATCTGGAGCAGGACCGCCCCTGCGCCCACCTGACTGGCATCGGCTTGGAGCATGAATGGTCTGTCAAAACAAGGAGCAGATAACACAGGGTGGGAACAGAGCACAGACTTGACACTCTCAAACGCCTGCTGGCACTCCTGAGACCAAATAAATTTTGCTTTGGCCTTAAGAAGTTCTGTGAGCGGAAAGACGACAGTAGAAAAATTCTTACAAAAACTCCTGTAATAACCCACCAACCCCAAAAACCGCTGCAACTCCTTTTTTGTAGACCGCCTCCTTCGGTTCCTGCACAGAAATAGGAGTAACAGCCAGAACAGGTCGCACGGAGCCTGCGCGCGCATCCTCACGCTGATAATATGGCTTCAACAAATTCACATGAAACAGTTTTTTAGACCTTCTCCGTCCAGGCGTCTCGATTAAATAATTCAACTCAGACACTTTTTCCAACACAGTATAGGGACCATCGAACTTGGCTTGAAAGGGGGAACTCACAACCGGTGTCAGAGCCAGCACCTGATCGCCAGGGCAGAATTCATGCCGCTCCGCTCTCCGATCATAAATACCCTTCATTTTCTTCTGAGATTGATGTAACTTCTCTTTAGCCATACAGCCAGCCATGAACAAGCAATGACGGAAACCATTCACAAAATCAACGAGATTCCGGGGTGGGTCTGCCTCAACAAAACTGCTCTTCAAGGCAGCCAAGGGACCTCGCACAGAGTGGCTAAAGACACACTCATTAGGGCTAAACCCAGTGCTCTCCTGCACCGCCTCACGCGCAGCCAAAAGCAGCCACGGGAGCCCGTCTTCCCAGTCCCTCTCCAGCTCAGTACAGTAGGCCCGCAACAGAGACTTCAGAGTCTGGTGGAACCGCTCCAGCGCTCCCTGACTCTGCGCATGATACGCGGAGGACTGGTTATGCCTCACTCCAAGTGCTTTCAAAACCTGTGCAAACATATGCGACGTGAAATTCGAACCACGGTCACTTTGAATGATCTTGGGGATGCCGAACACCGAAATAAATTGCGACAAAGCCTTAACCACTGACTTTGTTGTAATCGACCGTAGTGGATAAGCAGCCGGATAGCGGGTACCCTGACACATCACTGTTAGAAGATATTTGCACCCAGATCTAGCACACGGCAATGGGCCCACACAATCTATTAACAAATATTCAAATGGCTCACTCACAGCTGGAATAGGCTGCAGTGGCGCAGGGGCTATTGCCTGGTTCGGCTTTCCTGTTAACTGACATGTGTGACACGTCTTAACAAACGCGGACACATCTCTTTTCACTCGCGGCCAAAAAAAATGCTTGAGAAGACTCAAATATGTTTTACGCACACCAAAGTGACCAGAATTATTGTGCGCCACCTCAAGAACAGCCCCACGAAACTTTTCTGGAACTACCACTTGATACACGGCCTCGTGCACACAGTCCCCCGCAAACGTGTACTTCCTGAGCAGCACATCATTTTGAACAAAATATCCATTTGCCAAACTCGCTATTTGTGCATCGGAGACAGCCAAATCAAATAACTTCTCCAAAGTCAGATCGTCTCGCTGCGCCCGAACCAATTCAGCGCGGGACACATTTAATGGAAACTCTGCCATAGACAACACAAAATCACTGGAAGCTGCCGAGGATGCAGAGGCCACTTTATGCATGGCCCGCGTCACCGCGCACGCGGGGAATACGTCTGGCTGCGATGAAGAGCCGCTCTCGGGGGCCATGGGACACAGTGTAACCACAGGTGCGGCTGGAAGCTCCACCGCGTCAGCATCCACAGTCTCCCCGCCACCAGTGTCTGTGTCAGCCCAGACACGACCACCAGCCAACCCATTCCCCAAAATAAAATGAATCCCCTCGATGGGCAACGCTGGTCGCACACCGACAGTGAGTTCTCCCCGCACCAGCTCACACTCTAATTTCATCCTGTGTAACGGAATAGGCAACACAGTCATGCCCATGCCCCTGCTCAGTATGAAGTCCCCTGTAGCGGTCTCCGCGGAGAAAGGCAATACCGAACCGACCACGAACGAGTCATACGCTCCTGTGTCCCGCAGAATTTTAATTTGAACCGTACCTCCCCCAGGCAGAGATAACGAGCCTTCACATATAAATGGTGAAAAAGATTCAAACACCTCCGCTTCACCAGGAATTGGGGCAGTGAACGCAGCAGGCTTGACGTAAGACCTTGACATTCTACTCTTGGACCTCAACACTGGACAATCAGACTTCCAATGCCCTTCCTCGTGACAATAATTACACATTTCACTCGAATCACGCCCCTGATCACTCTCGCGCATGTATCCTATACCACGCGTATCCGTATGTCGGTTTGCCGAATCCATCGGGCCCCTGTGAATCAGAACATAATCATCTGCAAGCGCAGCAGCTGCACTCGCTGACTCAGCTTTCTGCTCACAAATGTACGTCGCAACCGCTTTTGGCATAGAATTCTTCAATTGCTCTAAGACAATCAACTCACCCAACTTTTCAAAATTTGTGACTTTGGACGCTGCGCACCAACGAGAAAAATGTGCCTTCAAATCCCGCGTGAACTCCAGATAACTCTGTCCTCCTGATTTTTTGCACATCCGAAACCGCTGCCTATAGGCCTCTGGCACCAACTCGTATGCCTTCAGGACTGCGGCCTTCACCACGTCATAATCCTGACTGTCTGACACAGACAGCACAGACAAGGCCTCCTGCGCGCGGCCTACCAAAACACACTGTAACAGTTCACTTTGGAGAGACCCATGAGGAAGATGCCGTTAGACTTATTAGATTTAAGCATGTTTATGATTGAGCATGTTTGGCGCCCTAGGCCCGGGAGGGATGCTGTTGAGCACGGCGCTTGCTCGCGTGCATAATCCCCCCCCGGGGCCTAGGTACTGGTGACGGCAGAGGCAGTAGGCAAGCGCGCTTCGATGAGAGAAGGAGGAGGTGGGGCGGCGGAGGCTTGCAGACTTCAGAAGGCCGGAAAGTGGGCATCTCCGGCTTTTAACTTGCTGTCCTGGTGGTTATTGGTTGACTGGATGTGGGCGTTGCTGGTATTGATGAGTCGAGGAAGAGCAGCCTGTGGCCTGGGCAGCAGCAGCCGGGTCTACCACAGTGAACTTTCGCGAAGCTCCATTTCACTTTGGAGAGACCCATGAGGAAGATGCCGTTAGACTTATTAGATTTAAGCATGTTTATGATTGAGCATGTTTGGCGCCCTAGGCCCGGGAGGGATGCTGTTGAGCACGGCGCTTGCTCGCGTGCATAATCCCCAAAAAGCGGGCCTGCAATTGGGGTAGCAGGATGTACTGCGCGGGCCTGAGAGCATGAGTGAGGCTTCTCGCACGGTCGCTTCGGCCGGCTGCGTCCGCTGGGGCCCGTGTTTGTTTAGGCAGAGCGAGCTGAGGATATGAGCGTGCTCATATTCAGCTAGACGCTGAAGCAGAGGAATCTTTGAGCGAACTGGGAACATGCGCGCACGCGCATGTTCAGCCAGTCGCAGCGTAGGGGAGTCTTTGAGCGAGCTGGGAATATGAGATGCACGCTCATATTCGCCAGACGCTGAAGCCAAAAATCTTTGAGCGAACTGGGAACATGCGCGCAAGCGCATGTTCAGCCAGTCGCAGCGTAGGGGAGTCTTTGAGCGAGCTGGGAATATGAGATGCACGCTCATATTCGCCAGACGCTGAAGCCAAAATCTTTGAGCGAACTGGGAACATGCGCGCACGCGCATGTTCAGCCAGTCGCAGCGTAGGGGAGTCTTTGAGCGAGCTGGGAATATGAGATGCACGCTCATATTCGCCAGACGCTGAAGCCAAAATCTTTGAGCGAACTGGGAACATGCGCGCACGCGCATGTTCAGCCAGTCGCAGTGTAGGGGAGTCTTTGAGCGAGCTGGGATTATGAGATGCACGCTCATATTCGCCAGACGCTGAAGCCAAAATCTTTGATCTAACTGGGAACATGCGCGCACGCGCATGTTCAGCCAGTCGCAGCGTAGGGGAGTCTTTGAGCGAGCTGGGAATATGAGATGCACGCTCATATTCGCCAGACGCTGAAGCCAAGAATCTTTGAGCGAACTGGGAACATGCGCGCACGCGCATGTTCAGCCAGTCGCAGCGTAGGGGAGTCTTTGAGCGAGCTGGGAATATGAGATGCACGCTCATATTCGCCAGACGCTGAAGCCAAAATCTTTGAGCGAACTGGGAACATGCGCGCACGCGCATGTTCAGCCAGTCGCAGTGTAGGGGAGTCTTTGAGCGAGCTGGGATTATGAGATGCACGCTCATATTCGCCAGACGCTGAAGCCAAAAATCTTTGAGCGAACTGGGAACATGCGCGCACGCGCATGTTCAGCCAGTCGCAGCGTAGGGGAGTCTTTGAGCGAGCTGGGAATATGAGATGCACGCTCATATTCGCCAGACGCTGAAGCCAAGAATCTTTGAGCGAACTGGGAACATGCGCGCACGCTGAAGCGCTGCAGCAGAGGAATCTTTGAGCGAGCTGAGACATGCGCGTTTGAGGAAGTGCGTGCCGCCACCAGAATATATAGCTTACTTGCTTTGCTGGGAGCTTACGAGAAAGCCGGTAAACGTTGAGCGGCCATGATAGCGGTCGCATCTGGCCTGATGTAGGTGGAGAAAGCCGAAGAGGACCAGCGCCCCAGCTGTTGTAGAGAAGGGTGGGGGAGCCCCAGCGAGGCCGCGACCACTGGGAATGTCTCGTGTAGGGCAGAGGAAATGCTCCGGGGAAAAGTAGCGGGCCACGGCCCCGCCAACCACTGGTCCTGGGAGAACCCCCCAAAACCCACGGAAGGGGCAGCGGCCGTGTAGAAGCGGAGACCTGTAGGGGCGGAGAGACATACCGAGGAGGGCCAATGATGTTGCAGGCGCCCTTACGCTTAGAATCTGGGGATGGAGATTAGATAATCAGGACAGTAGGATAGGTCGGGAAAGCGTGTCTCGGACCGCATTGAAGGTTGAGTGAGCAGTAGTGAAACGCTTATGCAGAGAAGCCATAGAAGGCGAGCAGGAAGATGCTGCGAGGAGGGCAGACATGTACTTGGACGATGAGCCGGAGTTCAGTGCCGCTCAGAGCTGCTGCAGGATGGGCGGCAGGATGGGGAGCCTGCAATCAGAAGAGTGAAAAATACGGGTACGGATGCCTTTGAGTAGGAGTTTGATTGACAGCTCAGCAGTAAAGAGAGATGTAAAGTGAAGAGACGTCAAAGTAAATGAAGCAGTAGTAGCAGCAGTAGTTGCAGCAGTGGTTGCAGCAGTAGCAGTAGCAACAGCAGCAGTTGCAGCATCCTTAGATAATAACAGCAATAATCCTGTATCAAGGCCACAGCAGTAGAAATTGTTGTAGCTGTTTAGTGTTTCAGAAAGAGAGATGTAAAGGGAAGAGAGATGTCAAGTAAATGAAGCAGCAGCAGCAAGCAGTATGAAGCTTCCAACGTGGTTTTACTGCAAGTGGCAGAACATGAATCTGAATTAATGCACGTGCTCCTCTTATATCCCTCAGACGATGGATATTGATACCATTTAACATGCGTTGCCCCTCAGTTAGCTCAAACACAAGTGAAAACGAAGCCTGCAGTCCAGTGTACGGGGCAAAAACCAAGCCCGCAGTCCAGACTCCGGGATTAATCCGTCCGCGGTCGGCACACTCACTGTACTCACATGCCAGGAGACTTGGGAAAAGCAACGGGACAACGCGGCCCGCCAGACCGTCTGCGCGCGGCAGCAGACCACGAGGAACGAGCAGCACAGAACCCGCGGAGGGCCCCACGGAGAGCCCGCAGAAAGAGCCCGCAGAAGAGGAGAGCAGTGGAGACGCGCGAACCACAGCAGGCAGGGACGCAAAGGAGGAGCAGACCACAAGCAGCCAGACTGAGAACAGCCGGGCCACGCGCACGAGCAACACGTGAGCAGAAGCGACCCCTCCAGAACAACGCATGCATTTGCAAACAGGTGCGTTAGCGACATGCACCTTGCAGACTTCAGAAGGCCGGAAAGTGGGCATCTCCGGCTTTTAACTTGCTGTCCTGGTGGTTATTGGTTGACTGGATGTGGGCGTTGCTGGTATTGATGAGTCGAGGAAGAGCAGCCTGTGGCCTGGGCAGCAGCAGCCGGGTCTACCACAGTGAACTTTCGCGAAGCTCCATCATTGTGCGCTCTGAATCGTTCCATCCCCGCGCTTCAGCCAAGCGCTCAAAAATGTGGAAGAACGAATCAGGATCTTTATCTGAAAATGTTGGTAATAAACGTAAATTCCCAATTAAATCAAATGCAGCATTAGAGCTAGCAAACGGCAGGGTGGAGGAGTACGGCTCCTCCTGCCGCCTCTTAATCTGCTCCAACTTCACACGCTCAATTTCAAATTGCACTTCCAACAATCTCAGTTGCTGCTCATACGTCAATGCTTGTGCCGCTGCCGCCTCAGGACCAGCGGCAACACCTGTAGCACTTGCAGACCCCGCTGTGACTAGCGGCCTGCCCTTCAACACCCCGAGATCAATCAAATTCGCCACTAATATCGACCTTAGATTTTCTTTCAAGCGTTTCATGTCCAAGTCCAGGTCATATCTTTTCCCAATGTCTATGAGTTGGTCTTTTGTGCATTGGAACAAAAACTCCTCAGAGGGAGCATCAAAAAAGTCAGAGATGTTCACCATCCTTCTCTGTTTCCCAACCCAGGCCAGCAAAAATCAATGTGAGCTAAAGTGCCCAAAGCATACATACACCCAAAATGATCCACAGCTGACCCAAATGCCCCGCTAAACCTATACTCAACCCTGATCTTCACACGGTTCTGCAGCGGGGTTTTAAGCACTCCAAGGGGAGACCAGTGTGACCACGGTTTGTGCACCCGAGAACGCCGTGAAAACGGCGAACACCAACCGCTCCCCGCGACTTAAACAAAAAAAACGCAGCCAAAAGAGCCACGTCCCTGTGCCTACCCGGGACACCGGTCAAACTGTCACCACTGGATCTATAGGTGCTGAATATCCACTGACACTTCACTCACCTTGATTCGCTGAACACGGGCCAAACTCATCCCTCCAACTCCCATCCACACAAATAGCAGGTGCCTCCGAGAGACCACCCACAGAGTCTCCGCGCCACCGAGGAAGACTCTGCTCTCAAGCCACCTTGCGGCGCACACCCGCCAGAGTAAACTCAGGACTGCAAATAATGAAGGACACAAAACCAACTGCACGAAAAACAACCAAATAAATAAGTAAACGAATTCCCCTCAATGCGCTTCCAACTAACAACTTTGACGAGCCCCCATTCTGTCATAACTCGGCTCAAATAGAAATGACAGAAACACGCCAAACCGTTGCCAATTGGAATAATGTTTATTAATAACCAAACTTAATGTTTTAATGGGGTGTGTAAGTCTGTAGTGAGTGCGTGCGAGTGTATGTGCTGTGAAGGTAAGTCTGCGGTGTTGAATGGTGTGTAGAAAATAGACCACAACCTAAACGAACCAAAACTAACCAAACCAAACCAGGCAAACCAAACCGAAGGAGGCGGGGCACGCAGGTGGCAGGATGGGAGCGGAATGAGCCAACAAGAATGTCTGGCTTGCACCAGAGCTTTAAAGGCGCGGCTCCGTCTGACGCACCAATGAGCGCAGGTGCCATCTGAGAGGAGAGGCTATACGGCCTGGTAGTGGCCGTAACACAAGTTAAATAAAAAACACTGGCCAGCCCCATTATTCACTTATTATAAAGACATTTCTGCACTGAATTCACACAGACACGTCACACATGGAAACAGAGTTGCCTTTCCAATAGACATGTTTTTGTACTGCATGTGAATACTTTTAGTTCAGTGCAGGTGATGATCTCAGTTGGGAGTGAGTCCAGAACATTTTGGGACGCTGCACTCTCCACGTGCTGTAGACCGAGTGGCATGTGTACTTTGTGATGTGTACACACTGCTATGTCAGTGCTTGTAGCCGTGCAGTTAATAACTTTATTTGCCATGACGTGACAATAATTTGTCTCCAACAGGCCATTGTCAATCCTGACGAGACCCCCAGTGAGGATACTCAGTTGGGCTCTGCCTCCTCTGCACCATCGACCCGGTCTGCTTCTCCAGCTCCATCCTCAAACAATCCTCCCTCTTCACCAACCCCGTCCTCTTCATCCTCTCGCCAGAACACCCCTACCCCCAGAAAAAGGAAGAGGACAGATAGCCAGAGGATTTTGGACTTTCTCCAAGCAGAGTCAGACAAGGAACAGAGAAGACACGAGGAGTCAGAGGAGAAGACTTTGCGCTTTTTAAGTCTCTTCGAGAGGATGGTGGAAAAGCTGTAGCCTGCTGCTGTGTGGCTGTTTGGGCAAACATGTCTGTTCATATTGTACATATGACATTTTATTAGAGTGTTTTTCAAAAAATAAATCTCAGTTAATGTGACTGTGTGTGTGTTGATGTTCACTGTTCTAGGAAGAAATACTGAAACTTAAAGTTAGGATCTTGGCAAAGGATATAAAGAAAAGGTTAAATCGTTAAATCATTTTATTGAAAGAATTTACTTTACATTTAAGGGTCTTCATTGAACAATACAGCGAGCCTGTCCCTTATTGCAGTCCCTGCCCTTTCATATTCCTCAGCAGCTTCATGGAGAGGAAGTTCCGGGTCCAGGATGTCTGTTGCATCACTATCAGGTTCCAGGACGTCTCCGTTGTCTAGACATACATTGTGCAGAAAGGCACACGATGCTATAACCTGTGGTGCAAATGTAGGCTTGACCTCCAGGGCTCTGAACAGGGTTGACCTCCAGCGAGTCTTCATAATCCCAAATGCTCTCTCCACAATAGAACGGGCTCTTGACAGATGGTAGTTGAATTTCCTTTGGGCCCGGCCGTTCACTGGCTCTCGGTATGGAGTAATAAGGGCGATTGGTCCCTCCAAACAAGGATACCCACCATCTCCCAGAATGAAGTACCCCGTAGGTGGGTACCTTCTTGCAAGGTAAAACGAGCTGTTCTTCAGAATGCGCGTGTCATGCACAGAACCTGGATAGCCCACAAAAATGTCTAGGAATTTTCCTGTGTGATCACAAATAGCTTGCATTTGTATTGAGTAGAAACCCTTGTAATTTAGATAGTCCAGACGATGGAGTGATGGGGGCTTTATGCGAACATGACAACCATCAATGGCTCCAACAGCTTTGTTTAGTAGAGGTGTTCCAGCAAGCTCGGCAAAGCCGTTACTCACTGCATCAATGTCAGCCATCTTTGGAAAACTGATTGCTCGGTGTAGATTGTTCCAAATGAACTGTGCTACCACATTGACTTTACAGCACGTTGCTGGACGGTCACTCTGAAAAACAAAGAGCAAAAAAATATATAGCATGAGTGATGGCCTAAGAGCACAAATTCCCCTCATGAAAGCAGTGATGTGACATTAACAATACAAACTATACATGCAAAGGCATTACAGTACTTCATATAATATTTTCCGCAATATAAATAGTTCTCAATATACTACTGTGACTCAAGATTTCAGCGAAAGGAAAGTAGAACCAGTGTAGCCAATGCTGCACCGCTTTGTTTTTGCGTTTGTGATACACGTGTTTAGTACATACTTAAAACAGCGATGAATACTTCATGGTTAGACGTTTGGACATATGGATGTAACTTTTGATCTTTGTATCGTTTGTAGGTCGTCTTGTTTTAGACACAGTTTTGGTACGATAGTTAGTAATGTTGCAGCCATAGACTGTATATATATGCAGTCGGGCAAAGCCGCGCCATTATGAAAGAAAACAACATACCTGAAACATCCGGGCAAGCGCAACCATACGTCGAAGTCTCATCCTACGTCTGTTGCTTCTCCGTGTACTTTGCGAACGGAGAAAAAGCATCATAGCCCACAAAACAGGCAGAAGCTCCGCTGGACCCGGCATTTTCGAAAGTAACAACAACAGCAGTACTTCTCCGGTCTTACCTACCCTATGAAGAAATATGTATTACCGCCACCTATTGGACTGGGGTGAAATCCGAAAAACGGACATTGCGTGTGACGTAGTGGACGCTCATTTGCATACAAGGGTGTCCCAATACTTAGGGAGAGTTGAGTGCACCCTCCACTTGCACTCGCACTTGCACTCACACTTGCACTCGCACTTAAGGGCAAGGGGGACAATTGGGGACGGGGCCTTAATCTCATTGGGACTTTCCTGGTTAAATAGAACAAAGATGCTAGCCTGGCCTTAGCCATCCGTGCACTCCGCTCAAATATAATTTCCCTGCATGTAACGTCTGGGTCTGGTCCCTGTGTTGAATTCCATCCGACCAATCAGCGAGCGCGGGAGGCGGGTGTTGTAGTTAGTTGTGGGTGACGTCAAAGAGTTTGCGTCGAATGGGAAGGTTGTAGTGGCAATGGCGAAATATGCAATAGTAAAGTAATCCGGTCTGGTTCTATCAAGAAATTGAAGCCAAAGCAATAGGAATGTTTAGCAAATGTAAAAATTGTGGCGCTACTCCCCAAGGGCTCCGTTAGCGGCAAAGGAGATGGCTAGCCTAGGCTAAATGCTAACGACTCACTCGGGCGCATTACATACATGACGGTAAACTCAGATCCAATCGTTTCAATCTGCTTGGGGAGTTAACCCCTTCCACCTGTTAACAGAGCTCAATGGAGCACCTCCAGACCATAGTACGAAATGTAATTTGTACTATGGTGTGGTACAACCAGGCGACAGTGATGCAGACATTCACAGAGCATACAAACTTGCTCATTGAGAGACAATTTAACAGTTATTCAGATAAATAGGACACCAGCTCCATATGTTGCATAGTTTGTGATTTGATCACCAATTGACTTGACAATGTTTGTTGTTTTGTAATGTATCCAAGGGTAACTCCACAAATAACCTTATCATTTTCTAGAGAAGTCCAAATATTCACAGTATATTGGGGGTCTTTCAGTGACTTATTTTTTGGTTCTGTTTTCTGTGTGAATCTATTTAGAATCCGTCCATCCATTTATCCGTTGTCAGAGGCACCAGTCTGAGCAGACCTTCTAATCCAAGGCCTCTTCCTCCATGGAATCTCGCCTCAACCGATTACACACACAAATGTTTCTATTTTTGTATTCATATTTTGTTTTCTGACCAATACTGTAGAAACTTACATCATCATCAATTTGTTATTCATTCTTAGCATAAAGCCAAAGTGTAAATTATTAGTACTATTTCAAGCTCAAAAACACAGTGGTTCTTGAGATCATGCAAATGGACAAAAATACAACAATAATTTATTTATTTTTGTTAAATAAATGTAGTATAATTGGGAAGTGATCCACAAACATAAACTGCTGTTGGAGTGTGTGTGTGCAGTGGGTAAGCAATCATCTTTTCTATATATAAAAAATTTCACAGACCGAGGTCACACAAAGCTCTTCACAATTTCGGTGTACTGGTAATTCCCATTCTCTCCACAGACGGGAACAACCCAGTGAAACACAAAAAGTACGGGGATCGAGGACAAGAACTAAAAAATACAAGGAATGACATTGACGGGACAAGGAAGTGAAGGAACTCGCTATACGCTAACGACTAACGAGACACAGCTGAGACTCATGAAGGTAATGACACAACAGGAAGTACAACTAAAGAAGACACAGGGACATGGATCTATAATAATAACTGGATAGGGTATTACTAGCTTATAGCTGAAGGACCCACGGGCTCGGGGGCTTCAAGCGGTACTGCAGAGTAAATAAGACCAAATTCACGTGGGCTACTCAGAAATTTTCCCCACCAGCGAAATTCCAAAATATAGGCGAGTTCCACTAATCTTTCGGTACCCATGGACTCTTCATGGGCCACTGAGGACAAGCCATTGGTTTGAATAAGCGCCATCTTGGATCACCGGGGCTTGCACGGGGGTTAAACAGGAAATACACCTGTGACATGTAATTTTCTCTAGTGTGAGATCAAAAAAGTCTATCTTATCCTATTGTAGCTTATCTTACCTAAACCATGACAGTAGAACATGCAAACTCAACACAAAGGCCTGGAGGTGGAATCGATTCAAGGACTTCCAGGCCGTGAAGCACAAACGCTACCCACTGAACCACCATGGCTGTCCCTATGGAAACAGCAATGTTTATACACAATTGTACATATGGGAACGTTAAACTCAACTTTAAACATTTTAGAAACGCATTTCTCTGGATAAACAGTTGTATAGCGCCACGCCTGTCCATCTGTCTCCTGCACCTGTCTGTGAGCTCTCAGTTCTTTGGGGAGCCAACGAATCTACTTGTTCTTTTGCCTCTCAAGGATGTTTGCGTCTCAGCGCTGTGGAAACTTTGCCGCGAGCCACATCTGATGTCTGCAAACGCATAATAATAAAGGCCTCGGTGCGCCGCGCTCGGACTGGGTTTAGGATTTTCTCGACAGGGTACAATTTGGACATTTGCATAACCCCCCAGGAGTCCTCCACGCACCGCACCAGCTGCTCCAAACTCACAGCACTTATTTCATTCGTTTCTCCTCACAGTCTTCTGTGTGCTACTATGAATTATTCTTTTGTTCAAGTTTTCATCTGTGCTGAATATGTAGGACAAACTTGGTGCGAGAAAGTCTAGATCCAACCAGCAACTAATTTATAATGTTATATTTAGATCGGGAAGATTTTCAGTTTGCTTGGAAATAAATCTGAAACAACAAGCCATGGTTGCTGTTGTTGTTGTTGTTGTTTTGTAATGTAAACAAGGGTAACTCCATAAATAATCTTAACATTCGTCAAAGAAGTCTGTTTACAATAAATCAGGAGTGGCGGTCTTTCAATTATTTTGGTCGGTTTTTAGAGACATTTGTTTCAGTTCTATTTTCTGTGTGAATCTATTCCGAATCCATCATTCCATTCTCTTCATCCGTTGTCAGAGGCAACAGTCTGAGTAGAAACTCTAAGATTCTATCCAAGTACACTTCCTTTGTGGAATCTCACTTCAACTGATTCCACGTAAAATTTAAATGTGTCTAGATTATGATTCAAATGTTGTTTCGGGACCAATACAGTCGTAATTTACATAATCACCTCTTAATTCTTAATTCTTAGCATAAAGAAGACAAGCTTACTACTTTATTTAAATAAGGGCAGTACACATGGAACGACATTACATGTAATTATGCAGTATTAGCGTTATAGTTTCCAACTGTAGTCCCTTGGGAAGGTGTAAAATGACTCAAAAAAATAACCGCTGCTAACATTACAAGATAAAATATATGCTTTTTGTAAATGTAAATTATTTGTTCTGGCTGTGTCTTTGCCAGATTTGCAAAAGAGAAGTTTTAATCCAT